ATGATGACCATGAACCCAGTAATTCTTAGGGTTATTTGTAAGAATACTCAAGTTGTCCTGGAAGGGGTTGTTACAGGTTCTTTTATATTATGCATCTATCCCAATGTCTAGCTGCCCTGGGTTAACTTTGAATGGACCTGAATGGAAAGCAGCATTTCCACTACACCCAAAAATAGAAAATAGAAAAGATGAAGACAGGGACAGGTTAAACTGGATCTTCATGAAATGCTATCTAATCTTAAAGTAGTCTTAGCTTTTAAGCATGAAGTTCCTAAACTATTGCATTCCAACATTTCCTTACTGATTTTTTTTTTTTTTTGTAAAAAGCTTCATCTCAAGGTGTTGCTGAACAAACCTTTATTATTAGAAGTGAGTTTTTGTACATTCTTGACTAATATATGCTATGCTTGCATGCACTGGAAAAAGAATGAAAATTTCAGAAGAGAAAAGCAGAGGGAAATGTAACAAATTGATCTCTTTTATATTTTTAATGGTCTATTTGGGGGAACATGCAGAAATGCCAAGAATAGCTTGATTTAATATTCCCACTTGCTTTTCCAGACATGGATGATTGTTTTCTGTGCCCAGATGATTGCTATCCAAGTAAAGATCATGTTTCATGCATTCCCAAACATGTAAGTTACCTATCTTATGAAGAAAATCTGGGTATCAGCTTGACTGGTGTGTCTCTAGTGCTTTCCTTCATCACAATTTTGGTGCTAGGAATCTTCAGGAAGTACCACGACACCCCCATCATCAAAGCCAACAACCGCAGCCTCTCCTACACCCTCCTCATCTCCCTCCTCCTCTCCTTCCTTTGCTCTCTGCTTTTCATGGGTAGACCCATGATGGTGACCTGTCTCCTTCGACAGACTGCTTTTGGGATCATCTTCTCAGTGGCAGTTTCCTGTATGTTGGGCAAAACCATCACTGTGGTTCTCGCTTTCATGGCCACCAAGCCAGGATCAAGGATGCAGACGTGGGTGGGGAAAAGACTCGCCCTTTCCATTGTGCTCTCCTGCTCCCTTATTCAAACTATTCTTTGTGTAATCTGGCTGTCCATCTTTCCCCCCTTCCCAAACATTGACATGAACTCTCTAAACATTGAAGCCATTCTGGAATGTAATGAAGGATCTGTTGCAATGTTTTATTGCATTTTGAGCTTCATGGGCTTCCTGGCTATTGTCAGTTTTGTTGTAGCTTTCCTAGCGAGGACACTGCCAGATACCTTCCAGGAAACCAAATCCATCACCTTCAGCATGCTGGTCTTTTGCAGTGTCTGGCTGTCCTTCATACCTGCCTACATAAGCAGCAAAGGAAAATACCTGGTGGCCGTGGAGATCTTTGCCATCTTGGCCTCCAGTGGGGGGCTACTGGCA